CAAAAAAAGAAACAAAAAGAATTATTGTTCTTGGTCACCTCTCTATGGGGCAGGCACTAGATATATGATATTTTTGTCCTACAAGATTCTGTAAGAGACATCTTATTTTTGCTTTATAAATGGAAAAAATTGGCAGAATGACAAACACAAAAGATTAAACATTGGACTCACTGAGAATGTGAATCAACTGAGATTCACAGATTTTTCTGATTCTGTATTCACACACTTTCATCCGAGAGAACTCAGACCGATTTACTTAGATTGGTAGGGAACTGGAAATTTTTTAAGCTCAAAAAAAGAATCCTGTGACATATCCATGTGAGGCCCCCAACACAAAGGGTCTTTGGAAGCGTTAGAACCCTTTCCTGTATCCATTAGGGTTGAAGATCTTTAGTAGGACATCATTTTAAGGAGCTGCAGATGAAGATACAGATCGAAAAAGGTTCCAAACTTCAATTCCTCAGCCTTACTAGAGACAGTTTACAAATAATAAAGCACCCAGAGGCAAGCTGAGAATCCAGAGGCCTGGGGGAGCTGCTGGCTCCATGAGGTCCCTGCTGCCTGACCCGCTGCTAGCTTGCAAATGTCACAACACAGGCCACCTGATCCCCTGCTTGGGTCCACATCACAATGGACACCTTATCCATCCCACTGTTCTTTCCTCTCCCAACTGTTCAATTTTCTTTGCAGAAAGGAATAAAGCGACATTATTTTCTCCCGTCTTTTGCTTTCTGTGGGCCAGGAGTCGCCTCAGTTCATTCGAGCTTCCGAACCCGGAGGGATGTCTAACAAGGCTGTCAGGAGTCCCTCTTCACAGATGGCCAGCCTGCTTTCCCGCTGCACCTTGATAGTTATTACAGTTAATTTACTTAGAAAATGAAGGCTTCACTCCACAGCACAGAGTATTATATACTGTGCTGACAAATCCAGCAGCCTTCTAATCACACTGGCAACCTCAGGCTGCCACGCCTGACCTTGTTCATAAATCTCTGGCTCAGAAGTGTAGCAGGAGCCTGTGCAGAGACCTGCTCGCCCACTGCAGGCAGCAGTCAGAAGCACAGCTGGAGAGCTGTGCGATGCAGAAGGGGTCAGATCCCCATCTTCCCCATGGAAACCCCAAAACCAAATTCCACCTGGTTTCCAGACAGGGAACGTCTACTCAGGTTTAGCACATTGTAGGAAAAAAAAAAAAATCCATATTTCTTGCCCTCGGGTGGTACCTGCTCAGCCAGCGCTCCTAGGTACCCAGAGAGCAAGCTCAGCTTAGAGTCAAAGAATTTCAGTCCTGCCATCCTTCAAATGCCATAGTGATACATACACAGTGTGGTGTCATGATGCTACGGAAAGCAGATAAAGAAACTATCTACACGGTATATTTGGAGGAATACTAAGAAAACTCCATGACTTAATTCTTTCCAGCCATGTGCTCCAACATCTTTAGAGTGCTGTTGACCTGGATGGGTGTGTCGTTGAAGTGTATTTATATTTCTAGGCTGGACCCCATGTGTAAAATATTCATGTGACATTAGGTTCTTTTCATATTGCTATTTTCTAAATTTAATATTCTTTTATAGTATTAAGATAGAAATAAGCTTGCCTAACAATACTCTGCTTAAAGATAAATAAATGTGAGCATATATTTATGTATATAATCACTATTGGAGACCAAAAATATATAGAACACAAGTAGAAGAAAACATACTCACCATCATTGCAGTATTTCTGTGCTTCCCAAACGCTTTATGTATCTTTAATCTGAAGTTCAAATAATAACATCATGCTCCTAAACGATGGTTAGCACTCATTTCTCATTGCCCAGAGGCACAGGCCGCTGGCACCTAGAGCTGGCCCGCCACCTGCCGTAAACCTCCCGCCTGGCTCTCCTTGCTGTCACTGCCAGGATAGTCTCCTGCCCTGTTGCAGTTTTCTGGGTGACATGTCCCCCTGAGCTTGGGTAGCTGGCTGCCTCCCTTCCCAGCTATGCGGAGACTGTCCCTGGCTCCACCCAGTCTGGAAGCGCCCGCAGCCTCCGTGTCATTCCCGTCTCCCTCCCTCAGGGAGGATCCGTTCCTGTTGTTTCCCATTATGTTCTCAAGTAGTGCCTTCCCCAAAGCCCAGCACTTGAGACGTCTTCCCACAGACATCCGTACACTCTTCTCTGAAAGACGCGCCTTCAGGGGCATCTTACATCTTACTTAGAAATTGTTCGCTAACGCCTTCAGGCATTTTCATTTTAGATACTGAATCTCACAGGAACCTCTTTCTTCCAGGTCCAAAAGGTAAGAGAAGAAGGCGCTTCTTTTTAAAGATACCACAGTGTAAACCGAGTACAGCTGCACAATGTCACACACTAGATTGCTTTGCAAACCAAACCACTGAGACTTTTTTTCTGTTTATGAACTGGTTAGAAATACCAATAAATTAAAAATAGAAAGTGAGGGCAAATGGTAGGACAGGTTGGTAAAGCAAATCCCCAAAAATCCTCCTCATACAAATCAAAGAAGTCAGTTGAGGATTGCATGTCACTAAAATTTCAGTTAAAAAGTCATTGTTAGCCAGTGAATTCACATTGAATCTGGTGTTTAATTCAAGGAACTCCTTGAGTTACATTTACAAGAAAAAGAAAAATCAATGATGGTTATGATTTAAGAGAAATCACCCTGAGCATGTTTTAAGATTTTTCCCATCTCTCCTGAAGGTTCAGAAAGCAACTGATGAATAATGTACTTAGCAGTTTTCAGAAACCTTCAGGGTGTAAAATTCCAAATGTAACCAGAAATCTGATTTTCGGGGAGAATATATATTTCTTTCAAGGTTTCATTAAAATTAGGGAGCAAGGGTGAACTGTGCTACAGGAAGGCTATGAGCATTTGAAAGTGGGCTCTGGAGCTGGGGGTGACCGGTTTGCCAATGAGGTTAACTGAGATGGTGTCCCAACCTTTCAAAATAAAATGACACAGGCAAGGGGACTCGGGAAGCTGAGTGGACAGCAATTTCTTGTTATGCTTTATTCCTCCTTCGTTGTACAATAAACTCTCTCAGGAAATATTAGACATCCAACTTATTTCCACTGATGGCTGCAACTATTTGTTGATGCTCAGGAGTAAAACTATTTCCATTTTAGTGTAGCTCCTATCTCTAGATGAAAGTTTCATTATTAAAAGTGCTTTGGTGGTACTATTCTTAAACATTAACAAGCACATTTAAGGCAGAATTGAAGCTACTTGGTGTAAGTTAGAAACCACAGTGGTCGGGCTGGACTTTGAGACAGGCTGCTGCTAGCTTTATTCTGCATTGCTGCACACAACCTAACACATGGTATTTGTTTGAAAAGTTTGATATACGGTTTTAATTTTACACTTTAAAGGGGATATAGGCAGAATTTTTGTACTGTTTTGCTGTGGTGGTAGTTGTTAGGTAGAACTTTTGTGCTTTGAACTATCCAAATCCAGTGTAACTAGCCGAACAGGGACAGATGAAGTGGAACAATTCCTCCCGCTGCTCCTGCTCCCCACCCCACCGTGGATTTGAGCCCTTCTTAGCTCTGAGCTGATGGTTTGGGATTTATGGAAGCACTGTCCGCTTCCCTTTCACCAACCAAACCAATTCATGTTAAAAATGTTATCTAGCCTTCTAACCTTCATTGAAATTGCCTGTTTGTGTTCCCAGGTGACATAAATTAAGACCCAGCTCCTGGCAGGAAGAAATGAGAGACTTCATAAGCTTCACAGCCAAGTCTGAGCTGCAAGCAGATTGCAGAGCTGTCACAGAGATTCCACACCCTTCCAAATTCCATTAGGGATTGGTTTCCTCCCACTGGGTGTAACAGCCCCATCACATCTCCCCAACTCACAGCACCCCAAGGTACACACTCATGCCGGGAAAGAGCAGGGGGAGCTTAAGGGGCAATGTCAGATGAAAAGGAGGTGAGAGCCGGTATAGGTTTCCCTTACCACAGAGAAGGGAGAATTGTCAAATTCCTTCTGGACGGGGAAAGTGACAGCTGTCAGGCAAACTCACCGGTGTCATCTTCTGGAAAGGCTTTATAGATGGAAATGGCTACTGGGATGTACCTGCTTAGGATTTCTAGAGAAGAAAGCCAATAAATTTTTTAAAAATGGGAATCTATGGATGAAGCAAAATAACATATAAGGAATTGTAATGGTTGATACACTCTCAACTTGAGAAGTCTAGCAGTTTAAGGAAGGAATCAGCAGGGAGCCATGGTCCTTACTTTGTGAACACCCTCATCCTGCGCAAGAGGCGGGCATTGAGTTGGTGTCCTGGGGAGGGCAGCCTGCTTACAGTATCAGGAGAGGCTTGCTCTTCCCCTCTTCTGCTCTGGCTGCTTTTGCTGTCTTCTGCCACCTTGAACTGTGGCCCCTGTGCCACGCCAGCCTGCCTTGGAATCAGCTGATTTTGGGCTGAAACCTCCACAAACTGTGAGCTCACTAAACATCTCCTTTGTATGTTGGGTGCCAGGTAGTTTGTCCCAGCAACAAGAGAAAAGTGACCAAGACAGGAACAGGTAGGTAAAAAATGGTAACACATCATAAGTAAAGTTATCTACCCTGCGTATGCGGTTCAGTCACAACATCACTGAAGGAGGCGCATGGTAAATCCAGCCACGATCCCAGCAGAAGAGAACCAGCAAGGCCTAGCGGCTGTGTCTGAACTCTCCAAGCCCCACCCACCCACGTGATAATTTGTTTCTTTGTCATTTTTCATAAAGTGTATACAACATAAAATCTCTGCCTCTCATTTTAAAAAGATCTTTTATATGATCTGTTCAAGAGAAATAATTTATTCAGAGATAAAAATGACCTTGTTTTTAGCATTTTACAGTCCTTAGCATTCATGGAGAGTTCTGGGCATTAGCATTTGTACTCTAGGTCCAAACTCAAGATCCCTAATTGTGTGCTGCTATGTACCAGAGTACGCAAGCAATATGTCCCTACATTTTACCTCCAAGTCAACACTGGTTGAGGGTTCTGATGAAGTTGAGGTTTTACATTATGTTTATTTTACATGGAAATTTGTATTTATTTAGAACAAGAAAATAATAGCCACAGCGATGGTTAATTGGATGTGTCCAATGGATGAACTAGAGAATTCCCAGAAAGCTCTGAAGGCATTATTTCTGGGGGTATCTATGATTCTGGAAGAGTTAGCAGACTGAATCAGGAGACTGAGCAAAGTCTCCCTCATCAATGTCCTAAGATGCAGCATCTAGTTCCTTTAGAGCCTGAATAAAGCAAAATGTTAGAAGAAAAGCAAACTTCTTCTGGTGTTGAGACATCGCTTTTCTCCTCAGGTACAAGTGCTCCTAGTTCTCAGGCCTGTGCCTTGGTCTTGAGTTGTTACCAGCTTCCTACTTCTCCAGCAGACAGCAGGTGGTGGGCTTTGGTCTCCATAGCCAGCTGAGCCAGTTCCTCTTTTACTTTCTGTCCATCTGTCCAGCCATCTACTCACCCATCCACCCCTCCATCCTTAGCTATGCATCCATCCATCTACTCATTTACATGTGTTCACCCATCTATCATCTGTCTATTGACTGACCTATCCATCCATCCATCCATCCATCCTCTGGCTCTAGTTTACTGCAGAACCTTGACTAATACAACATTCAAACTTTTTGTGCTTTGACACCTTTCCAATGAATTAAGGGCCAAGTTTTTTGCTCCTCCTATTTCTAGTATTATTCTAACATTATATTTCTGTGTTAAAAGTCACATTGTAAGTGGTGATTTCCTATCAGAATGCAAAGGTAGTAAGTCACTATTAGCTATTTGGGTATTAATAATGTGCAGATATCTGAAACTGAGATGCTCAATCACTCATGTGGTATTTACATCTCCTATGTGTCACCTGTGGCCCTGTGTTAATATCTATGCCAAATATAAAACACAATCTGGATTCTTTCCAGAAACGTCTTCAGTGAATCAGTTAGCCAGCCGCCCACCTGTCAGAGCAAGTGCTGAGTGCTCCGGAGACGCAGGGAAGGAAACAGTGAGCAGGCAGAGTCCACGTGACCCAGGGGGAGCGGACCCTCTCCCGGGTGGCGACCACTGGTGTGCGCCATGGAGATGAGGGCGCAGGTGGTCACCCACGTGCGGGAGATGGACGTGCATCACTGAGAGGAGGCAGCAGACACACCGGTGACACCACGGGATCGTGAGGGACGCAGGCTGCTGCAAGGCAGAGCAGCACAGTCCCAGCCCACTGTCGCCTTAGACGTCTGCACAGCAGCTGTGGCTGGAGGTCTGGGTAGGCCCAGTGATGTAAGGGGCAGAAGAGTCTTCTTAATCTAAGAAGAAAACAAAGCCAACGAATTTACTGAGTAATATATGGGGGGGAGCAATAAAATGAAAGTTTCTACCATAAGCAAAGAAAATTATAAACCTCTATCAGTCATGCACATAGCTAAAAGAAATCCTCAAAAAGCACTAGCAATCCTAATTCGACAATTGCACACTAAGCAATGTTTCACCAAGATCAAGTGAGATCTGTCCTTGGGATACAAAGATGAGTTAACTTGTTCGCATTATTAAGTGTGACATCATGTCAACAGAAGGAGAAACAGAAATGATGTGTTCCTCTCAATCCACGCAGAAAAAGCACTTGACAAGACTCAACATCCTGTCAGGATAAAGACTCTCAAAGACTAAATACAGAAGGAATGCATCTGAACACAGCAACGCCGTATGTGACGAGACCCCCGCTGACATCCTACTCGGTGAGCAGCTGAAAGTCTGACCTACAGGTCAGTAACAAGGCAAGATGCCCCATTCACAGTCCCTCCCAGCGGAGTCCTAAAATCCTACCAGAACGAAAAGGAAAGAAAGAAAGCAACGACAAGGTGCATAAGTTGGAAAGGGAGTTGCAAAACTGTTGGTTTCCTGACATGATCTTATGTATCAAAATCCTAAGAACTCCACCCATAAAAGCTATTAGAACTAATAAATCAATTCCATAATGTTACATGGTACAAAAGTCAACAGAAAAACTAAATTATATTGGTGTACACTAATAATGAGATATTATTCATGGAAAATGAATAAAAATTACAATCTCATATATAATAGCAATGCAATAACCACAAAATAGTTGGGTGGAAAATTTAACCAGGGAGTAAAATATCCACATAGTGAAAAGCAGAAGGTGCTGAATAAATTGGAGAGAACACAATAAAAGGAAAGCTTAGCCACATTCATGGATTAGATAAACTAATACTTTTAAATGTCTATGTTACTCAAAGTGATTTACATATTCAATCCAATCTGTATTAAAATTCTAGTGTAGTTTTTCACACAAGAGGAAAACCCCTAAATTATAGAGGCAGAAAAAGATGTTGTATGACCAAATCAATCCTGAGCAAAAAGAACAAAGCTGTTACACCCTCTGCCTGACAACAAAATATATCCCAAAACTATAGTCATTAAAATAACATGGCACAGGTGAAAACCAATTATCCTGAACAGGGCAGGAGAGGAGTCAGCAGTAAACTCATGCATTATAACAACTGATTTCTTATAAAGCTACCTACTAATGTAGCAGTGAAAGGATAGTTTAATAAATTATACTGGAAAAATAAGATCTCCACATGCAGAAGAATAAAATTAGAATCTTACACTATGAACTAGAATCTCATTGCAATGAATTAAAATCTTACCTCCAAAACCTGACCCTTAGCAGTACTGCACCATGAAATTTCTCACAAAGTTAGTCTGGGTGCCGCTCTGTTAGGTCCAACCAAAGAGCATATAACACAAAGCAAAAATAGAGAAATGAGAACAAATCCAGTTTAAAAGAGTCTACACAACAGAACAAGGAGACCAGGAAAGTAGGAGAAAATATCTGCAAACCGCATATCTGGTAAGAGGTTATACGATAAATGGACAGAGAAAATACAGTGGAATGCTATTTGTCTTCAAAAAGAAAAATCCTATGACCTGTGACAATCTGCGTGATCCTAAGGACACGACATAAGTGAAATAAATCCAGCAGGGGAAAACAAACACCGCACCACCAGTCACATCTGGAGTCAAATTCCTAGCAGCAGAGCGCAGACTGGAGAGCAGACTGGAGGTTATCAAAGGTGGGAGAGCGGTGGAGGAAGGACAGGTGTCACAGCAACGAGGGGAGGGCGTTTCCGCTGCTGCACAGGCCACAGACGGCCACACACACCGCGGCCTGCAGAGTCGCTAAGGATTTCAGTGTCGCTGCGGAATCCTAACTGAGGCGGTGGCTGGTTCACTCCGCCCGCCTGCTTCCGTCACACATCGCACTGGGCCCCGTCCTACACAGAACTACAATTGTCAATTAGAATTTCGAACTCTGGGTGCAGGAGGAGGATGCGCAGGAGGAGCAGGGCGCAGGCCTGCGGGGTGAAGGGATTCAGAGCCTCTGGTGACAGGAGGGGAAGCCAGCTGAGGCTGAGGAGCGCGGAGCTTCCTGAGGCCCCGGCTCCTCCCGTTTAAGGTGCCCGCAATTCCCCTGCGCTTCCTTCCCTGCAGTGCTGGGCGGATCCCAGAGTCAGGTGCATGCTGGGCAAGGGCTCTTCCACTGGGCTGAACTCTCAGGCTTTTTAAAAAACGCATTAGGTTGTTTCCCAGGCTGACTGCGATTTGCATCCTCCTGCCTCAGTCTCCCAAGAGGCTGGCTTTGCAGAAGTGGCCACTATTTCCTGCATGCAGGCCCACAGGGCTTTTGGACACAGGGAAGTGGATCCTCCATTTGTCAAGGCAGTAAGCACCTCACTGAGCTGTGCCTGCCTTTGGTGTGTCCCTCACGGGCCACCATCCATCCTCAGCTTTGCTTCTTCCCTCCAAACTATAAAATCCTCCCTGGAGAAGCCCAGGCACCTCCTAAACACAGCGCCTCCCGCTGAACGAGGCCCTGAGCTTTAGGCCTCTGTGTCTTCAGCCTTTGTTGTGCCTTTTCTAATTTAATACTTCAAGCATATTTTCTGTCAGGAAAAAAAAAAAAACAAACTGTGCCACACACCTTAAAAACAGATGTGCGTTCAACTTCACCTGTGGACCCTCACGGGATTTCCTACGTGTGGCAAACACACAGGTTCACACACAAGTGCGGCCCCTGGGCTGCTGTGGAAGTGACACATGGCAATCTGTCTCTCGGCACCAGATCATCCAAGGAGCTCCTTGGTTGCTGTTGCCAAGTGGCACTTGGATTTTTATGGTTCTTGTTGGCTCGGTGAGGCAGAAATCTATGAAGCTGTCCCTTCCTGCCTCCCAGCATAGCTGCATCTGTGCTGTTATTTCCCGGCTGTCAGGTGCCAACGCAAGCGACTGGTAGTACCTGGAAAACCAACCACCTTGCTCCTGCTGGAACACACTTTGAAGAGCTAACCTGCAAATCTTTTTGATCAGAACAATTTTAATTATCCGACCCCCCCCACCCCCAATAAAGGTGCATCTCTTTCATTAGTGACCTTCTTTTGTTGGGTGTGTGTCTCTAGACCCAGGACATTCTCTCTTCCCTAAACTACTTTCCAAATTTTCCAAAGAAATACAAAAACCACACGGTGTGTGAAAGCTTTGCAATTTCCACTGGGTTCAATTCCAATTAACTCAAATATCGAGGTCAGTCATAGGGGCCGCGCGAGATGTCTGTGTTAGAACAAGGTAATGAGCGAAACAAAAGTGTCACCAGCTCTCGGCTCGGGGGGCAGGAGAAAAGGGCACCTTTCCTGAAGTGCTTAGGGTAGGAATATGAGTCTCATGGCCTTGTTTTCATTAATTTCCAGCAAGGATGTCTACCCAGCCAGGAGAATTTTCCTTCTACTGCGTGCTCAGAGGACTCCTGTGTTCTGAAACAATTCCACAAGGAGCACTCGTGGCTGTAATTTCTCCTTGCTTTATTTTTCTGGGAGGGTACTCCTGGGCTCCACAGGTGTCGAGTCGTTCTGCCAGAGGGTTTCTTCCGGAAAGCAGCTGAATGGTGCTGTGTGTGCCACTGCCTGCGCTGGGAAGTGGCCAGGAGTCCTGTGGGCTTCCATTCACTCACAAGCACCCTACTGCTCAGTACATTAAATAATGTTCATTTCCTTAGTGCATTTTTGATCTGAAAAAGAAACCCTGCACTTTAATGGGTGCCATGAACTTGAACTGCTGGATTCTTTTAATCATTCAAAATGTTAAAACTATAAATTACGGAGGCTCCTGTATAATGCTACTTTAAACCAACCAAGGACTACAGGGCAAATAATGCTGGAAATTTCCATTAAGATGCCTGGTTTGGCTTTGAATAGTTTTCCAGGCCAAACAAAATATGCAGAGTGCTTGGAGGATTGTAATATGATGTGACCATCTGGAGTATTTCTGGGTGGTAGCCACTGACCCAATCCAAGTACAAAGCTGTGATTCAAGTCTGGGAAGATGGTGGAACAGTAAGTAGCAGGGTATTAGCCCAGTCCAGATGCTGGAATACAACATTCTGGAGAAGACAGAAGAAAGGATGTGGGTCTCCTCAACCCAGAAAAAAATGAAAGTGAGAACCGCAGTCCACTGAGAGAATAAAAGAAGAAGGAGGAGGAGAATGAGGAGGAGGAGGCGGAGGAGGAGGAAGAGAAAGAGGAGGAGGAAGAGGAGTAAGAGAAGGAGGAGGAGGAGGAAGAGGAGGAGGAGGAGGAGGAAGAGGAGGAGGAAGAGGAGGAGTAGTAAGAGGAGAAGGAGGAGGAAGAGGAGGAGGAGGAAGAGGAGGAGGAGGAAGAGAAAGAGGAGGAGGAGGAGGAGGAGGAGGAGGAGGAGGAGGAGGAGGAGGAGGAGGAGGAAGAAGAGGACGAGGAGGAGGAGGAGGAAAAGAAAAACCTAAACAGAGGAAGGTGGTAGCTGGTGGCGCTGTCACCAGAGCTGGAACCACCGCGCCGGAAGCACTGTTGGAACCTGGAGACGCATGGGCACAGTGAAGCTGGTGACTAGCAAGCCAGAAGGCCTTGGAGGGGAGGCGCAGCAGACCAGAGAACTGCACTGGCTGGTGGTGAATGTGTGGGACTCAGTTCTTCCTCGGGAGAGGGAGTTTGGCTGGGCACCATTTTGGAGTTGGGCAGGATAAGCCTGGAGACAGAACTGCAGTTGGCTTCATTCAGCCACTGCTAGCTTGGAGCAGATTGGTGACAACTGCTTGGACTGAGTTCCACCCCTCTGTGTGGTCAAATGGCCACTGCTGAGGTTTCCCTAAAGCTATCCCTAACCAACCCCACCCGCCCAGTGCACACTCATTGGTTAACCCAGCTTGGAAGGGAGGCACCAGCCTGCCCCGCCCCTGCTTACACTCCAGTAGCCA